AAGAGCTGAGAACCATTATTTGCACTATTTATTGATCACTTTCAAGTGTAAGGCACCATGCTAAGTGCTTTCCAGGTGGAATCAGAATTTGTTCACTTGGTGAAGAGTTCGATGATTCTACTGCAGGCAGCAAGGACACAAGAGTGAGAAGACCAAGTCTCAGCCCTCATATAATTTTGTACTCATAGAGAAAGACAAAGGATGACTAGGATTTCATTTCATAAAAAAGTGAATGGAACAGAGCAATGACTGTAATGACAGTAGGGTGGGAGAGTGTGCACTATTTAGTGTAAGAGGCAGGAAAAGCCACTGGGGAGGTGACCTTTGAAGACTGAGGGGACCAGCACTCCAGCCAGAGGGAATAGACAATGCAAAGCTCTGAAAGCAAAACCAAGAGCTAAGAATCTATGGCTCCAATACCCCGCATGCTTCCTTGGCCTTGACACCAGGGGGAGTCCAGGGAAGGCAGGCAGAGAGGGATCCTACTGCCCAGACCAGCCCTTCCCGGATTCCCTGAGGGCAGCGCAAGTCAGTAACAACACTAACAACAATAATATTAATGGCCAGGCAAGGAAGGTTACCACTGGCTAAGCACTGACTTCACAGGCACCACCTAGACTTTAAAATAGAGACTATTGCTACCCTCCCTACAGACGAGGAATAAAACTCAGCGAGGCTAGCTTACTTCTGGTCACTCAGCCAGAAAGAAGGCAGTGGAGGAGTTGGACCAGATCCCTCCAAGTTCAGGAACTATTTCCCCATTCTACAAACTTCTCAGGGTCTCCACAGTTGGTGGGCTTTTGCACCTGGGGTTCACCAAGAGTGAGCTGCTTCTTGTCTCTACTCACAGGCCCAGGGGTCCACTGCCCTTAATTACAGCATTTGTCACTGCTGCTTTTTTCTGGGGGCGGTACAGGAATCAAACTCAAGACCTTGCGCTTGCCAGGCACGTGCTTCTGCCACTGAGCTATATCCCTGGCCCCTGTCACTACTTCTTTCTTTCTTTTTTTTTGTTTTTTTTTTCCAGTACCAGGAATCGAACTCATGACCTTGCGCTTGCAAGGCAGGCGCTTTGCCACTGAGCTAAGTCCCCAGCCCTGTCACTACTTTCATCTAGGACAGACCCTGCCTCTAGTTCTCCGCTGTTATGCCAGTATCCAGCACAGCCAAATTCAACAGAACTTCCTGTGATACTGCAAGGTTTTATATCCACATGGTCGAATACATACCGCGGTACCTAGTCCCAGGGGCCGAGCATTTGAAATGTGACTAGTACAACAGAAAGAAAAAACCAAAACTTTCCTGTAATCTGAATTTATTTTTTTGGAGATAGAGTCTTGGACTCTCCCTATGTGGCCCAGGCTGGCCTTGACTTCGTGATCCACCTGCCTCAGCATCCACCTCCTGCTGGGAGTAGCTGTGTTGCCGCGCCACACAACCACACGTCAGGCTATCTAAATCTAAAATGCCAGTGAGCCCAGGTTCAGCACATCTGTTAAAGGTGTGCTTCCTAATTTTACCTGGATTTTACAGATGAAAAAAGGGAAATCCAATGAGGGTTGTTCTTTTTAAATCCAACTGGGACAGTCACAGAGGCCAGCAGAAACAATGAAGTCAGACTGCTCTCTGGGAGGTCACTCAACAGGAGGTCTTTAGGCCACCAGTAAAAAGAGAGTAACTGCCTCCGAGCTGAGGGCCTGCCTCCCAATTCAAGGGCCCCAGAAGACTGTTAACTTTTGTATTAGTTCTGGTACATGCATGAAGGTTCCACCTAATCTTCATCAGTTTTGGGACAAAGGAGACACTAATTTGCAAACAAAGAAAGATTAAGGGTCTAAGAGCTACCAGCCCACCAGTGGCTAATCTGCAATTTAAACCCAGGAATGCCTGGTACCCTCAGGGCCACCTTTATACTGCACCACAAGAGTTCCAGGAAGTGGCTGCAGGCCTGGAGATTTGAATCCAGTTTAGTTTGGCTTCCCAGGCTTCTGTCCACCATCTGGTTGGCCTCTTGGAGTAGCTCCACCATTGTTCTTGATATCTGGGCCTGCAAACCCTGGGTTTTAGCTATAGATCCTTGTTCGATCAGTACGCTGACCAAGAAGGGGCACATATTTCCACCCCACTCCTAGTAGCTAAACTCAGGTAGTTAGTTAGCCGGGTGTGGTGGTGCACACCTATAATCCCAGCCTTCGGGAGGCTGAGGCAGGAGGATTGCTGCGAGTTCAAGACCAGCCTGGGCTACAAAGTGAGCTCAAGGTCAGTCTGAACTGCATAGCAAGACCCTGTTTCAAAAACACAAAATAAACAAACAAACTCAGGTATTTGTCTGTGTTTGCACCTGTGAGAAAGATAGCACGAGCAGTCAATCATATCCACCAAGCGTTGGATGTCATCTCACCAAATCCTCATAATCATCCCAAGGGATATGGGTATTGCTTATCCCCTTCTTTTTTTTTTTTTTTTTGGTACCGAGAATCAAACTCAGGACCTTGCACTTGCCAGGCAGGCGCTGTGCCGCTGAGTTCTATCCCCAGCCCGTTTATCCCTTCTTTATGGACAGGCACAACTCCAACCTGACCTCAGAGCCAGAGTAATTTACAAGGAGCCGCTAAGCCAGCCAGGGAGAGATCACTGTGTGCACTGCCGAGAGGCAGAAGGCAGTACTGGGGCTGAGACCTGCAGGATGTGTCCAGCGTGGCAAGGGAGACTGAGGAGCAACACCGAATTTATGTGAACCAAGTAACTGGTTCACATTGTTGGGCCCAAAACTCCCGCCATGGAGAAGGGCATTGGAAGAGGATGTGCAAAGAAACGTATCCTGTGCGTGGGAAGCTTGTAGAGCCCAACGCAGCTTTGAAAACATATGAGCAATACTAGATAAAGGGCAGCCCCAGGACTGTCTGGAGATAGTGACCAACGATGGGAGTCTTGGAAACTGCACAGCAGGTCCTCCCTTGGACCTTGAGCACCAGGCCCTGTAAGATTGGCACACTGCTATCTTCCAAGAATTCCACTTCCCAAGGTCTTTGCTACAGAAAAACTTAAGAGAAATATCTCAGACAAACCACCATTCCACTGAAAAATGACTTCCTCTAAGTCCCTGGAAGCCTGACCACACTACCCAAGGCACTCTTCTCCTTAGACTACTTTCCAGGTCATGTCCCAGAGAAGGGGAGGGCACACATCAGAAAGGTGGAATCCTAGAAAGGGAGATGACCACGTTCTGACAGTAGCTGGCATTTTGGTTCCAGTTACCGTGTCGCATGTAGTACTAGGCACCAGACACTGTGCTTTGGCCTTTGCTTGTATTCTGAGTTAATTCTCCCGACAGCTCTATAAAGATACCTTTGAATCCCCATGGGAAGAAACTCCAATCAGAGGAGTGATCACTTGGCTGAGGTGACACTGTAAGTGGAGGGCTGGGACACCAACCAACCCAGCATTTGCTTACCGTAGTGAGAGCAGGTATCTCAATAATAACGCGATTTCTGTTTTTTTTTTGTTTTTTTGTTTTTTTTTCCATAAAGACACAGACTAAAGTGACTTAGCTGGGAAGAGGCAGGAGAGAGGATTCCTGCAACTGGGGCTCCTAAGCATGGTGGAAAATGGTAAAGAACTAACAGGAAGGCTTGGGATGTGGTGCGGTGGCAGAACACTTGTCTAGCATGCAAGAGGTACTTGATTCAATTCCCAGTACTAAAAAACAACAACCACCAAAAGCATCTAACAGAAAATCCCAGAAACGGCTCAAGCAGAGCGGAGATTTTCCCTGGGTCACACACTCTAGCTCTAGCACTAGCACGCCACTGACTCAGCCTCGAAACACACCCACCTCCACAACACTCCAGGCTAGGAAACTAAAGAAACAAGCAAAAGTCCCTCTTGTGCCAAGCACTGTCCAAAATCCTAGAGACACTCAGGCTAAAGAATGAGGTATGGGATTAGTGAAGGAAGGCTCTGTCTCAGCTCCTCCTAAGCCTCAATTTTCTCATTCGGTAGAAGGGGGATACAATATATAAGCTTGTATTTGCTGGTTTAGTCCAGAGGACGCAGAGACCAGACAAACCTCAGCGCCTGACATCTAGCAGATGCTCAATAAATAAGATGTTCACTGCCACTGCTGTTATAGCGGTGGCGGGAGAGGAGTTGAATTAGGTCCTTATTCCTTGCTTCCCAGCAAAGCCCCTTTAAGGCTGTGGGGGGCAGGGAGGGGGAGGTCCTCCCTGAGGAAGTCTAAAGATCTCTGAAAAAACTCTGAAGATCCTAGACCACTTAAGAAGGAACAGCCTAATCAGAAAGTCTTCAGGAGCCACTGCCAGAGCTGCCCCCTCTCCCCCAGCTTTGGCTGCCACTGCCGCGTACCAGGAGGCCAGCCAAACCCCAAGAGCACCCGCGCCCCCTTCCAAAACAGGGGTGCGGGAGAGGGCGGGAGGGGGGGTGACCTTCGCCGGCCAGTCCCAGGTGCCCCGTGCCCGGCGCTGAGGGGCCAGAGCGGGGCCGGATCCTAGAAAGAGTCCGGGGCTCGCCCGCCTCCGCCTAGAGGAAGGGAAACTGCGCAGGGGGCGGGGAGGAGGAGTGGTCGGGCCGCTCTGGCTGGGATTTGCCTGGACTTGAAGACGCTCTCTCCACGAGAGCCCAAAGCCTGGAGAGCCCCGAAAAGGCTTCCCACTCATTCGTCCGGAGTCCGGGAGAGCCAGGAGGGCTCGGGCGGCGGGGTGGGGGTGG